TAAAAAATCTTCTTTTAAAGAATCCAAAGAGCTAGAGCTAAGATATTTGGCATGAAACATCTTCTAGTGAGTGTCTACCATGTTTGTTCAAATAAACGCCCTGGGGTCAGAATTGGCCCCACCCCAGGGGGTCATTGATTTTCCCTATATGCATATTCTAAAAACTTAAAAAATCTTCTTTTAAAGAACCCAAAGAGCTAGAGCTAAGATATTTGGCATGAAACATCTTCTAGTGAGTGTCTACCAAGTTTGTTCAAATAAAAGCCCTGGGGTCAAAATTGGCCCCGCCTGGGGGTCATTGATTTTCCCTATATGCATATAGTAAAAACTTAAAAAATCTTCTTTTAAAGAACCCAAAGAGCTAGAGCTAAGATATTTGGCATGAAACATCTTCTAGTGAGTGTCTACCAAGTTTGTTCAAATAAAAGCCCTGGGGTCAAAATTGGCCCCGCCTGGGGGTCATTGATTTTCGTTATATGTGTATGGCAAAAACTTAAAAATCTTCTTTGAAATAACCCATATAGCTAGAGTTTAGATATTAAGCATGAAACATCTTTTAGTAAATATATCTACAAAGTTTGTTCAAATAAAAGCCCGGGGGTCAAAACTGGCCCTGCCCCAGGGGTGTCATTGTTTTTAACTATATGTGTATAGTAAAAACTTAAAAAAATCTTCTTTTAAAAAACCCAATGAGCTAGAACTTAGATGTTTAGCATGAAACATCTTCTTATGGGTGTCTACCAAGTCTGTTCAAATAAACAAATAAAAGCCCTTGGGTAAAAATTGGCCTGGGGGGGGGGGGGGGGGGGGGGGCTATATACAGGTGAGCGACCTCAGGGCCATCTTGGCCCTCTTGTTTTTTTTTGCTAACATACAACTGATAGGCCCAGTGGACTTTTAAAAAACTGCACAGCACTGATTGAAAAGCATGTGTTGTATAATTATAAATGTTGGCATCAACTCTGATGTCAAGTTTCTACGATTACAAAAATTTGACCACTAAGTCATAAACACTTTTAATATTAACTACGTAAATAACCAAGGTATATCAAGTGAAAAGATATGAGTTGTTTCTCTTATCTTCAAGTAAAATTGATATCTCTTATGCTAAAACAATACAAATTAAGCTGGAAATGGAATGCTTTTGATCTTAGCTTCATCACAGTATATACTTCAACACATCTTTTGACACATTTACTGTTAAATGTTAGCCATTGGTCAGACCATTTTACGGGCGTCTGTGGCCGAGTGGTTAAGGTCGTTGACTTCAAACCACTTGCCCCTCACTGCTGTGGGTTCGAATCCCAACAGGGACTTTGGATTCTTTCATGTGAGGAAGCTATCAAGCTAGCTTACGGAAGGTCGGTGGTTCTACTAAGGTGCCCGTGTGTCCGTTCGTGCCTGAAATAATGCACGGAGGGGCACCTGAGGTCTTCCTCCACCTGTTAAGCTGGAACATCGCGATATGACCTATACTGTGTCGATGTTACGTAAAACCCAAAACATACAAACATACAAAAGACCATTTTACATACGATTTTATGCAGTGAGTTATACAACAGGTTATCGTCACTTGAAAAACTACTGCTAAGAATAGCCTGTCGTCTGCTAGTTCGGAAAGTATTTGCAGCTGTTTTAGCTATCATGAGGTGACACGTGATCAGTGATCACTCTTGTTGTTTTAATACAGTAAGTGAGAGGGGTACATGATTTGGGATGTTGGAATAGTATTATGAAAATTTTTCTTTGTTTGCAAAGACCACAGATGACATATTTGCAAAGATCACACATGACATATAAGCAAATACTGTTTCAACTAATAAATGCTTGTATATTTTGTAGACGTTCCAAGGTTTTAAAGAAGCTCTCACAAATTTTGCTCCCACTTACAAGTATGACCAGTTTTGTGACGACTACGATACCAGTGATAAAAGTCGAACACCCGCTTGGACAGACAGGGTTCTGTGGAAACATAATCCATTCATAAAACACCAAAATCCAGGTTTGTTCCATTATTAAATACCAACATACATGTTTGTATCCTCGTTATTTACCAAAATCCAGGTTTGTTTTCTCATTATGTACCAAAATCCAGGTTTGTTCTCTCATTAAGTACCAAAATCCAGATTAGTTCTGTCACTAAGTTCCAAAATCCAGGTTTGTTCTCTCATTAAGTACCAAAATTCAGGTTTGTTCTCTCATTAAGTACCAAAATGCAGGTTTGTTTTCTCATTTAGTACCAAAATGCAGGTTTATTCTCTCATTAAGTACCAAAATCCAGATTAGTTCTGTCATTAAGTTCCAAAATTCAGGACTGTTCTCCCATTAAGTACCAAAATGCAGGTTTATTCTCTCATTAAGTACCAAAATCCAGATTAGTTCTGTCAACAAGTTCCAAAATTCAGGACTGTTCTCTCATTAAATACCAAAACTCAGGTTTGTTCTCACATTAATACTAAAATCCAGGTTTGTTCTTTCATTAAATACCGAATCAAGATTTGTCGTCTCATTAGATACTAAAGTCAAGGTTTGGTCACTATTTTATTAAATATCATGGTACAGTTTTATTTTCACACTGAATACCAACTTCCCTTTTAGTTCTCTCATCAGCAAGGACGTGGTTGACTGATCATGGTTTGCAAAATTCACCAATCAGTCAGTTTTGAAATTTCTTTTTCCTTGAAAATAATGAACAAATGTGTCCAAATTTAAAGATGGGCATGTCCATTTTAAGAAATTTAGTATGGAAAAGGGTTAGAAACATTTAGGTGTATGTCACAGGATCTGACTTGATAGAATTATTAGGTATGTTTACATTTCAGATGAAGAGGCTGTGGATGAAGACCTGGAAACTTGGCCAAAATTATTGCTATACACAAGATCAGAGCTAAAAACATCTGATCATAGGTAATAATATTTCAAAACTGAAAAGACAACATTCGTTGTTGAAGTTGACTTATATACTGTGTACAAGGCTTTAAATTATACTGTAGAATGCTGTAAATTCAACCTGTCCAAATTTGCCATTTTGTCAAAAATGTATTTTTCTTCATTTGCCTATTTATGAATTTGTGTCATCATCATATCAAAAATATTGCTGTATGAAATAAGATATTCGATATTTCGTGCTTACATATATAAGTTATTTCAGATATATCATTAAGTTATTATTATGCCCCCCTTTGTAGAAGAGGGGGTATATTGTTTTGCTAATGTCGGTCTGTTGGTCTGTCCGTCAGTAGACCACATGATTTCCGCTGATTATCTTGAAAAGTATTTATCACAAAGTCTTCATATTTCTTATAGTGATTGATCATAATTAGTAGATGACCCCTATTGATTTTGGGGTCACTAGGTCAAAGGTCAGGGTCACAGGGGCCTTTAATGTCAAAATGGTTTCCGCTGATTATCTTGAAAAGTATTCATCACAAAGTCTCCATATTTCACATAGTGATTAGTCATAACTAGTAAATGCCTCCTATTAATTTTGGGGTCACTAGGTCAAAGGTCAAGGTCACAGGGGCTTTAAATGTTAAAATGGTTTCTGCTGATTTTCTTGAAAAGTATTCATCACAAAGTCTTCATATTTCACATAGTGATTGGTCATAACTTTTAGATGACCCCTATGGATTTTGGGGCCACTAGGTCAAAGGTCAAGGTCACAGGGGCTTTTAATGTCAAAATGGTTTCCACTGATTATCTTGAAAAGTATTCATTATAAAGTCTTCATATTTCACAAAGTGATTGGCCATAGCTAATAGATGACCCCTATTGCTTTTGGGGTCACTAGGTCAAAGGTCAAGGTCACAGGGGCTTTAATTGTCAAAATGGTTTCTGCTGATTATCTTGACAAAGAAGTATTATTTCACATATTGATTGTTCATAACTAGTAGATGACCCCTATTGATTTTGGGGTCACTAGGTCAAAGGTCAAGGTCACAGGGGCCTTAAATGTCAGTTTGGTTTCTGCTTATTATCTTGAAAACTATTTATCACAAAGTGTTCATATTTGTAGTATTGATTGGTAATACCTATTAGAAGACCCCTATTGATTTTGGGTCACTAGTTCAAAGTATTATCACAAGTAAGTAAGCCTATTGATTTTGGGGTGTGTAGGTCAAAGGTAAAGTTCAAAGGGTCCTTGAATGTCAGTTTGGTTTCTGCTTATTATCTTGAAAACTATTTATCACAAAGTGTTCATATTTGTAGTATTGATTGGTAATACCTTTTAGATGACCCCTATTGATTGAGGTTCACTAGTTCAAAGTTCTAGGTCACAGGGGCCTTAAATATCTCATAATCTTGAAAACTATTAATCACAAAGTCTTCATTATTTTTCTTTTTTCCATAATTGAACACTTCCATGTACCCATTTATAGCAAGTTTCTGTAACTAAATTACCAATAATGTGAGTCAAGGGCTAGAAAGGGGGGCATGTGTGTCGTTTGACATTTTTGTTATCATTTCAGGCCAGTTATTTCAGATCTACCATTAAGCTATTATTATCATTTCAGGCCAGTTATTTCAGATCTACCATTCAGCTATTATCATTATTTCAGGCCAGTTATTTCAGATATATCATTAAGCTATTACTATCATTTCAGGCCAGTTATTTCAGATCTACCATTAAGCTATTATTATCATTTCAGGCCAGTTATTTCAGATCTACCATTAAGCTATTATTATCATTTCAGGCCAGTTATTTCAGATCTACCATTAAGCTATTATTATCATTTCAGGCCAGTTATTTCAGATCTACCATTCAGCTATTATTATCATTTCAGGCCAGTTATTTCAGATCTACCATTAAGCTATTATCATTATTTCAGGCCAGTTATTTCAGATATATTATTAAGCTATTATTATCATTTCAGGCCAGTTATGGGACTGTTTGATGTACAGGTGATGTCTGTTAAGGAGAGAGAAAGAGACCAGGTGTTTGAGGAGGTTTTATCTGTACAGGGACCACAAAGATGCTACAGTTATTATATCCTCTGAAAATGGTGAATTTGAATGATGACCTGGTGGATGAAATAGTGGGGACTTTCTCAGAATTTGGAGAAATAATCTTAGTGAGGTTAATAGTTACTTTTTTCATTTATAGCTCACCTGTCAGAAAATGACAAGGTGAGCTTTTGTGATCACAATTCGACCGGTGTCAGTCCAGCATCCATAAGAAGTCCATCCGTAAACATTTACTTTAGACAACATTCTCCTTATAAACCACAAAGCCGATTTCATCCAAACTTCAAAGGAATGTTTCTTTGGTGGTCACCTTTGAAAGAATTTAATTCCATGCAGGACGAAAAACTCCTCTTAAACCCAAAGAGCTAGAATTTAAGATATTTAGCATGAAACATCTTCTAATGAGTGTCTACCAAGTTTATTCAAATAAAGCCTTGGGGACAAAATTGGTAGCCCCAAGGGGGTCATTGATTTTCCTTACATGTATATTGTAAAAACAAAAATCTTCTTTGAAAAAAACCCAAAGAGCTAGAGCTTAAACATTTCATAGTGTGTGTCTAACAAGTTTGTTCAAATAAAAGCCCTGGGGTCAAAATTGTCCATATCCCAGGGGGGTCTTTGATTTTTCTAATATTTATACATCTTTTTGAACTGTTAGTTTCCCTTAGAAATAGCAACAAGTAATGTTTTTACACATGCACTATTTCAGATACAAATATAGACTTTGTGAAATAAGTTTAAGATTTAGATTTTGTATTTTATTCTTTTACAATATTACTTGTTCCTTGTCATGGAGAGTTTTTATTTTCAGGTGAGCGATTTTAGGGCTCTCATGACTCTCTTGTTTTATACTTGACAATAGTACTTGTTCCTTGTCATGGATAGTTTTTTTATTCAGAAGAGCGATTTCAGGGCCATGATGGCTCCCTTGTTTAGAAAGTTAATACAAGATTTCCCAGTCATGAATAACTTAGTTATCTTATTTGCAGGAAACTTTATACAGTTTGGTCAGACTGCCCAGAATATTGTTTAGATTGGCTTGGCTTTATCCTCAGGAAAGAGATGTTTTATTTTTACCATAAGCAATTTGTATTTAAATAAAAAAGTGAAGCTTCTTACAAAATGATTTGCCAACTTACCTGACTATACCTCTGGCATGGGTTTCTTTGATATCTTTCAGCTAGCATTGTAAAGCTTTTTAGCTGTTTGTCGTTGTTATAAAATTGAGTTGTTTTTTCTTCAGATTTGTTGATGAAGACATGTGGTTAATATTTAAGAATGGTCAAATGGCTTTAGAAGCTGTACACCAGGATAAATTAGAGGTTAGCAATTTGTAAGATGTCAAGATGTATCATAAAAATTATTACATGTGTAAAATATCAAACAATTGTGTAGGATTTTTTTTTTTCATTTTTAGCTTGACTGTTTGATGAATAAGAAAGATATGTTGCTCACTCAGCCATCTGTGTCACATTTTGGTTAAGGTTTTACGTGCAAGTTGGAATCTCAAAAACTACCGGAGGAATGGGGCTTACTTGAGAGCATAATTGGAGGTGGCTGACCAACGTCCATAACTCTGACATGGATTTAACAGAATTATTGCCCCTTTTTGAATTTGTGATATTAAGCACATAGAAAAGTCGAGCACACTGTCATGCCAAAAGCTCTTGTTTTAAAAAAAGTATAGAAATTTGATCTAAGAATATTTATTTTCATATTTTTAAAGGGTTTATTTTTAAAATTACCATATTATTTCTGGTTCAAAAACATTTTGATCATTCTTCATTCTTTTTTCAGCTGTAAGTGTTCTATATTAAATAATTAAGGCCCTGTCACACTAGACTGCGCTTTTACTGTGTTTGCACGGCTTTGTAAAATTTAACAAAGCGCCGACAGTTTGCAAGAAAAATTTGATATTTTTGATGACATGGAGACGTCACGGCGACCATGGCATTGCTACTGAGCTTCAAAGGCGTTATAATGCGTCCTTACGGCGTTTTAATTGCCGATTGTCTGCATTCTGACTGTGCCTCTATTGCGTTCTTTCACGGCGCTCTCGCAGCGCTCACTTTGCGCTTAAATCATGCTTCATATACCAGCAATTAGTCATTCTGAATAGTCCTGTACCTGCTGCTGCAGCATGCAAGCAAGCAATATTCCAGCTTACTGGCATTCATCACCCATGGTTAAAAGAACATTGACTTGCAAACATGTTTTATATATACAGTAAAAGCCTCTATTAAGACCACCAAAGGGACTGGACTGAAGTGTCTTAATTGTGGGTGGTCGTTATTGTGGCTTTAATGATAAAGGCATGTATATTTCATGGCCGCTCTATTTGAATAATTACGTATAAACATGTTTCAACAATCATATTATAATCTTCAAATATTACTATGAACTGACGCTATAATATTTAATCTCAATTAGAACGTAAGTCTGAAGAAGATATCAAAGATTAAAATTTCATAGGTCTTGTTTCATGTACATAATTCATCTATAAATTAAGAAATTAATTCTTCACAAAATAAATGTGCAGAAAGTATTAAATCACTCCGAAGTTAATTGTCTCACCTTTATACAATTTTCCAATCATAACAGTTTTAACACTTTGTTTTATCAAGACTTTAGTGCCATGATTTAGAGAATTCAAGCAGATGAATAACAACAAACTTTTGATCTGAATAGGTCTTCACTGGAATATCAGTGGTCTCAATTGTGGGGTTAGATAAAAAAAAAAACAATGAATTGGGACTGTAACTGGTGGATCATGATACCATTAACCTAAAGAACAGAAAATTCTGTTCTTTTAAAAATTGGTCTTAATAGAAAGGTGGTCTTAATTCCGGGGTGGTCTTAAGTAGGGATTCTACTGTACTGTTTTCTGCATTTGAGATGAACATAGTAGAATTGCCATGAGAACGCAATGGTCGCCGTGAAAGTGCCACAAAGTCTCAGATAGAGCGTTTTAGAAAAAAAACAAAGCTCCGTAAAAGCGCCTTGCACACGCAGTATAAGCGCAGAAGAGACGTCGCATTATCTTTGTACAAGCGCCTTGGCTAACCACGGCGTTCATTTGGCGATCCTTCTGCACTTTCACAGCGCTCCTGTTGCATTGTAGGAGATGCTTTGGAGTTGCTACTGCGTCCTAAATGCGATCCCACTGCGCTCTTATCAGAACGCCGAGTGACGGCGTTTGTTTTGAGCATGGAAATGCGCGTGGTCGTACGGCGTTCTCTGCGATGCTGCGGCCTTGCTGCGGCGATGTTTGCGATCTTACTGCGCTCACCTAGGCTTTCTGAATTTTCTTTTGACGCCTAAGAATGCCGCCCTAGTGTGACAGGGGTTTTACACACACACTATTTTTATGCTGATGCTTGTAAGCTTGACAATGGGGGGTGGGCTATTCAACAGCTCTAATCATAACCACCCTAAATATCTTAGATAGACTCTTCCATCTTTCATCTTGGATCAAACCATTCATCTTTTTTGAAGGGGTAAAATTTCAAAGACAATATTGACTGAATATTGACCTATTTAGAGCATGATCAGAGGGCATGGATTTAAGGTAATAAAGTCATAACATTTTTCATTGTGATATTTTTAGATAGCTGGAAAGAAAATCAGTGTACGTTTAAAGACAGCCAACTGGAAAGAAATAAACCTGCTTGAACTTAGGGCATCGTCCCTGCAGACAGAGCCTCTCTTTAACACCACAACTAATAGTTTACTGGGCGAGGATTTTGAAATTGCCGACATCGATTGTTATGATAGTGAAGGTATGAACAAATTTCTGTTCTAGCTCTGATAATAAATTTAGACATGTTTTATATTAAGCTTTATTATGACGAATTTCCTCACAGCTATAGTGCAATGTGTAAAGCCTGCCATTTTCGTCGGCCTCTTTGTGCTTAATTCACAAATGTTTGTGGAAAATATATAGAGGATGCATGAATTTGTTTGTATCTAGTGAATATGGAAAAGTTATTGTGTAAGAACTTATATATTTAGTATCTCATTGAAAATTGTACAATATGTTTTGAATGTCAAATATATAAATAGAAATATTAAATGCAGGTGATGATGATGACGATGATGGTGTAGAAGAACAAGAACCATTACCAGAACCTATACACCCATCCCGGTCCGCTAGCAGTTCTCCGCATTCAGGTAGTTATCATTCTACTTTTAGGTATAGACATTTTACACTGTACAAACAACTTACTACCCATTGAATAGACAACCGATTGAAACATAGTCTTCAATCTTCACAGAATAATTACCCCCTATTGCTTTTGGACTTGGATACTCAAAGGTCAGAGTCGCAATAGACTTGAACTCAAGGTCACAATAGCCTTGAACTCAATGTCACAGTAGCCTTGAACTCAAGGTCACAATAGCCTTGAACTCTAGGTCAAAATAGCCATGAACTCAAGGTCATTATTGCCTTGAACTCAAGGTCACAATAGCCTGTAACTCAAAGTCACAGTGGCATTGAACTTGAAAACATTTTCTGCTGAACAACTAAAAACCCATTTGACTAACAGACCTCAGACTTCATCAGATTACCATCCGATAGAAGACTTTTTAAAGCAGCACGCCTCCAGATTCATTTTTCAGTTTTCATGAAAATATTTGAATGTTCTAAATTTATAGTTAAATACTTTTACAGGAACACAAAGTCCTGCAGAGGCCATGATGTTATCTGGCTCAAACACAAGTTTAGAGAAGGCTGGTGTTCCCCCTCCACGTCCGCAACCAGCCAGTCAATCAAGGCCGCCACCACCTGCTGCCAGGCCAAGGGAGACCACTCCTCCACAACAACAAAATATTGCAGACACGCTTATTGTCCCTGAACAAGTTTCAAAAGTAAGAGGAGCTGCACCAGAGGTAATTATTCTTGCTATTTTTAGAATGCATGTTTAAATTTTGAGTTCATATTATAAAATTCAAAAGCCTAAACATGGTCTGTGGTTTTGAACACATATGCCAAGACATATGTGTATTAAAACATTTCTTACATATGGGAATGTAAAGTATTTCATCTATCAGTAATTGCTTGAAAGTTGCTATTTATATTGCTGTATATTACTGGTGGAATGACTAGAATGATAACCACTTATGGATATAAATGTTTGTTTGTTTCATTTTACGCCTTTTCCTGACAGTATTTCAGTCATATAGACGGGTAGTTTCCTAACCATCGTTCCTGGAGAGTTACTCAAGTACTAGACTACCTCCCTCCGCGCTAAACTACCAAAGCATCTCCCGGGGATCGAACCCACGCCAGAGAGGTAACTGGATTAGAAGTCATCAACTCTAACCCCTCGACCATGGAGGCGAAATAATTTGATGTATTCATGTAAAAACCATAAAAACAAACATTTGAGAAAGAGTTTAATAAAACTACCTTTTTCTGAAAAAACAAAAAATTATGTCTGGTTTGAATTATTTTCACATATTTTAACAAAATTCCACAGTATTTTAGTAAAAGTCTAAAAGTAAAGTTTATTGTACCTTCAAATTAAAGAAATATTTTATGTAAATTAGTAAAATATATTAACCAAAGCTGTTAAATTTTATTATTCCAAAATTATATTTACTGTAAATTTGTGTAAAATATTATTTTGTTATTTTTTTCCTATAGCAATCTGTAAATAAGCCTGGGCCTCCACAGAGACCAGGCCCTCCAGCTAAGCCCCCACCCCCTCAGCGACCCCCAGGAGGGCCTCCAAGACCATCAGCAGGAGCACCAGGAGCTCAATCCAAACCACCAAGTAAGCATGAGTATTGAAGAAAAATATTATATGAACAGGCTTCCTATTTAGGGGAAGCTTGCACAATAGAACAAGGAGGAGGGGTACATCTAGAAGTAAACAGAACAGTCCTCATTCCATTTTAATGGAAGAGTCAATGGTTCTCTATTATCATCAAAGAAAATAACAAAAGAAATTGCCAGTGATCCGGGTCATTCAATTCTGGTTGTATTTGTGTATAAAGATGATTGATATCTGTAGCAGTGGTATCCATGGCAACTGTTAAAAAATTACCTACCTTTCACTACTATGGATGTTCTGTCACATCCCAAATTATACTTATATTTCACATAGATGCCCTCCACTTCTATTATACCCAGATTGCAAGATTTATTTTAAGGCAGTGAAAAATATGGAAAAATGTCATTCATTTTTACTGGACTGCAAAACTGATCTTATCACAATCGTATATGTTTGTTACAAACTTAAAAGGCACTCGACTGAGGTTATTTTACATGGCCATACTGGAAATATTTTTTTGAGATATTTATACCCTTTGATATAGTTTTGGAACAATTACTTGGGGTGAAATTTCAGATTTCAATTTCTGTCGCCTTTATGGACAAGTGGCGACTTATAGGGATCACTTCTCTATTGTCTGTCTGTTTGTCCGTCTGTCCATCCATCCAAGCTTACATTTGGATACTTTTGTGGAACAATAGGTAACTGTATTTTCTCTTTGATGTCATTAATTTAGTAAGGCTTTTATGTGGCTATTTTCCTTCATGTGGCAAAAAAACAATAGGGAGAACAATTGAGTAGCCTCATTAGAATGTCCATCTGTCCGTCCGTCACAAAACTTGTCTGGACTTCTTAGAAACTACTGGTGCAATTTCATCCAAGCTTTAGGAATTATCATTACCATGTCTAGTTGTGCATATCGTAAGCATTTTCATATTAACTTTAAAATTTTAGGTTCTCCTCAAAGACCAAGGAAGCCTATGTCAGGCCCACCAATAAAACAACCATTAGGACCACAAGCTATTGGCAAAATCAAGTCCAAACAACAGAATAAGGTGAGTTATGTCAAACCAAAGTACTGTTATCTGATTGATGAACTACTTTCTGTGATGAATTACTTTCTGATCAATTCTTGACAATTGTTGCATTTATAAATATCAAGCATTTTTCTGTATGGATATCTCTTGTATATGCTGTGAGTCATTTTTCTTGAAAATTTTTTTTTGAAATATTACAGGCTAGTTTTGTACCAAATGTTTGGCTGTTCAGTTAATATTTCCTTGCTTAAATTATGCTTTCTAGTGTGTAACTTAGCACTGGATTTATAGCTTAATCAGACCTTTTTGTGAATTTGGGAGTTACCACAAGAACATTGCTTGAAATAAAGTCTATCTAATACGGTAAAGGTAATAAACTCATGCTCTATTATGGCATATCTATCAATGATCACTTTATGCTGTAAAATAATTAAAACTTTTTTAATGTTATATAGCAAATTAAGACAAATACAGGGTCTTTTTTTAAAATCCCTGTTTTATTTTATGTAGATCACAAGAATCGGGCTACCAACCAATGTTACCCACATGGGTCATGCCAAATCACCTGAGGAGGCTGCGGCTCTTATAGAAAAGCTCCTTCAGTCTGGCGGGCCTGATATGAAAGGCACGTTACCGGCCCCTTTAAAACCAGGTGAGTCTTGTTCCGTATATACATTTTTATGCCCCAGGAACTGCTCACATGCCAGTAGGGGTCAATGTTTGCAAGTAAACTTTGATTCAAAATGCACCCCACAATTGTCAATTTCTGTCCAGCTATCTTATGTAAGCCTGATGGTTTTAAGTCTTGAATGATATTATTTCAGCATCATTGAGTCTTCTTTTTAATCTTTTATATATGTCATGTCTGTTTGAACTTGAATGTTACATTGAAGCTAATGGCTACTGTTGATTCATATCAAAATGATTTCCCTTTCTTCAGCTTATTTTCTTATATAATTCTTTTATTTTAAATTATGTTCATTTTCGGCAAGTTTTAATGTAAATGAAATTCATGTAAATTGTCATAATGAACTGGAGAAGCTAACAATGTTGAACAGGGTCACTTTATGATTCAATAGAGTACACATAATTATGTGGGAATTTCTTGTCATCAAATCTTGATATGACTGCTATATACAGTATTGGGTTATATATAAGTGAATTGTAAATACAGGTTATACTGTTCCAGAATTTTATGTTTTCTTGCTTGTTATTTCAGGCTTGAAGCCAAATCAATCTAACATTCCAAAAAGTAAAACCTCAGATAACATTCCATTATCAGCAGACACAGTCCTCCAACCACCACAAGGCATGCAACGTGTCCAAAGTGCTGAAAACATTACTACAGCTAGTTCACAACCAGTTCCTGCTTTGAGGAAGGATAGCTTGGAAGGGAAGGAAGCTGATGAAGAATCAAAACCAAGACCCGCCCCAAGACGAAATATTCAGAGTTGTTACATTGAATCAAATAGTGGATTATCATCCGCAGGTCCGACCACAGCCCCGCCCCCTGTTGTTCCGAGACCACAGTCTATGATAGATAGAGGCACGTTACCAGCTGTGCCAAAAGCTTTACCAGAGACTAGTCAGAACTATTACTCCAGTGTTGTTGATCATAGTAAAATTGATGCGGAGAAAGGACAAATATTACTGAATGGGTCTAATAAAAGTGAAACTGTTTACGAACCAACAGAATATGAAACTATATGGGGTGCAAAAACAACTAATGTTGGCGTGGTAGCCCCAGCCTTGCCAGCTGTTCCTAAAAGACGAGATTTGGCACCGGAAGGAGAGTCGCTTTTAGATAAACCTATGTCACCAAATGCTAAGAAACCAAGCCGGGACCCATTTGATACCAGTGCAATATCTCAAATGCTTCCAACTAGTATTCCT